CCCAGGGCCATGTCAGGGGTGGGGGAGGACCCAGAGGTGCAGCCTGCCCACCCTCCTGGAGGGCTCAGCTTTGGGGGGCTCTCACCAACCTGTTCATCCCGGGCAGGTTCCCCCAGAAGTACCGTGCCCGGTGCGCTGCAGACACTTCTTTGGCATCAATCATGACGGGGTTGGACTGCAGGAGGGGGAGCGGGAGGTCAGCGGGGCTCAGCAGCCCCTCATGGTGAGGACAGGACCCCGGGGGGCCCAGGGGCTGGATGGGGGTGACCCCAGGCACGCACTGACCTCCAGGAAGCGCGAGATGTCCCTCTTGTCGCTCACCCCCATGGCCACCACGTTCTCGAAGAGCCAGAAGAAGGGCCGGTCGTCGCCCTCCTTGGGCCGGGCTTCGTGGAGCAGGCGGTAGAACTCGAAGAAGAGGCGCCCAGTGCCCTCTGAGAGGAGAGAGGAGGGGGCCAGGGTCAGGGTGGGGGGCCCGTGTCAGCCCTAGGGGGCCGGCAGTGGGGTCCAGCCCCAGCCCCGTGGACACATTCCTACCATAGAGCCCCTTCCTGGCCGGGTTGACGATGGAGAGGTCGTTGCAGGGGCTCCCCCCGATCACCAGGTCGAAGGGGCCCCACTCCTGTATCTGCAAGAGGGAGAGGAGACCCCCAGTGAGCCGGGCACTGCCATGGCCTGGGGGACACAGGGGGTGGTGGTGGCCAAGCTCCCAGTGGGATCAGAGAATCACGGAATATCCTGAGCGGGAAGGGACTCACAAGGATCACCAGTCCAAGTCCTGGCCCTGCACAGACATGCCAACAATCCCACCCTGTCCCTCAGAGCATTGTCCCTGAGCTTTGGTGCTGTGCCCACTGACCTGGGGAGCCTTTTCAGTGCCCAGACACCCTCTGGGGGAAGAGCCTTTTCCTGAGATCCAACCTGACCCTGCCCTGGCACAGCTCCAGCCGTTCCCCTCAAGTCCTGCCACTGGTCACTGAGAGCAGAGGTCGGTGCTGCCCCTCAGGAGGGAGCTGCAGGTCCCTGAGGACGAGGGACCAGCCTCATGTGGAGACAGGGGTGTCTGGGGGTCCCGGGGGCCCGCAGGGTCAGGACAGGACGTACGTGTTTCTGGGTGACGTTGCGGACGTCCCCGACGTACATGATCTTGCCCTGGTGCCTCACCATGCCCACGGTGATGGAGTCCTCGCACACCTCGGAGGCAATGTACCTGTCCACCTGGATGCCCAGGTCCTTCAGCACCAGCAGCCCTGGGGGAGCAGCAGGGGGTGGGTGACAGGGATGGACGATGGGCCCCACCCGTCCCACCATCCCTGGGCCATCCCCCTCCCCTGGATCCCCACCGGTGTGGGGCACAGCAGACAGGAGGGGCTGCCCACGGGGATACCCACCCGGAGTGTCCCACAGACATGTCCACCTCCCCTGCCC